TGAATTACGGGTACCCCTCCATACAAACGCTCCACCGATTTGCCATACATGTACTTTGGTGACGGCTTCACAGTAGCATAGTCACTTACCCACGCGAGGACAAAAAGACCCCCCAAAAAAACGGTAAAGAGAATACAAATGAGAGAGACAGTTACCCTGGATTGATCTACACATTCATGACATTCCATCAGACCCCTTACATTGTTCCCAAACAGCGAAAATTTTGAAGAAAAACAGCAAAATAGTCTGAAACTTTACAGCTCAATGTGTTCGCCGTGAGGCTCAATCCTTGCACCGGTTTGCCGAATGAGGGTGTCTGACGTGACGTCACCGTCGTTGCTCGATCGAAGAAAAAGAAGTCGCGCTTTATCAACGACTGTTTCTTGTAATAATACGTGCTTCGATCCGCGCCGTACGACAGTATGGGCTTTGAACACACGCAAGGTGGAGACGGCTGAAACGTATTTTAATAACAATGGGATTTTCATTTGTCAGTATTAGTAGTTCTTTGATACAAGTTTCATGTGGGTATCTGTCGTCATTAATTTGTTTTTAATTTAGAACGTGTACGTTTCAGCCGTCTCCACCTTGCGTGTGTTCAAAGCCCATACTGGGAACAATGTAAGGGGTCTGATGGAATGTTATGAATGTGTAGATCAATCCAGGGTAACTGTCTCTCTCATTTGTATTCTCTTTACCGGTTTTTTGGGGGGTCTTTTTGTCCTCGCGTGGGTATGTGACTATGCTACTGTGAAGCCGTCACCAAAGTATGACAAATCAATGGAGCGTTTGTATGGAGGGGTACCCGTAATTTAACGCTCCACTTGGTAGAGCTAGGACTAGGGTAGCCCCAATAGTGTGGCCGCAGTATGCTGCGCTGAACCTCTACTGAGGGCGTTTTCATAAAAATTCAGGGCAGTTTCTTACATATGGTCGTATTCTATGATGTCCCATCTATCACTTCTGGGATGCTTAGGCCCCCCCAAAAAAGTCTCCGGTTTCTGGTATGGAGCTTGTCCAAAAAGTGGTGCGGCGACGCGACTTTTTTTTTTTTAACCCGACTTTTTTGCTTCAAATGTCGGCTGATGACTGCAAATGGTGCCCGACTAAACTTAGTGCAAATATATGGGAGTCCAGAGAGGCCACATACAGCTTATTCTCGATCATAACCCCATCTTAAAAACACGTTGAAATTGCACAGCAGCAGGATTCCAGTCAAACCAGTGAGTTTGGCGGTTTTGAGACATCATCTTTCACTGAAAAAAAAACTTTTTCATTTTGCCGACGCGCATGGCTACGGCGACGTGCGCGCATACCAGAAACCGGAGACTTTTTTTTTTGGCCTTAGGTGTAATGATGTTCAATTTTCCGAGATATTCTTGAATTTTTCTGGAGCCCATATGCACTCGTGAAACGTCCGGTGATGGCAGCCATTTTGAATGTGACAAGAGATGACCTCAAGCTGTGACGTTGCGTTTATGCAAATTGCTTGTCGAGCGAGGGCGCGAGTTGCAAATGCGACGGCTGTTTCCTGTGCCGTAGATCCTGAATAGAGATCAGTGCACGTGGCCCCCAGACGATAAATGCATGGTACAAGTGGCCAGGATGGAAGCGAAGTTTGCAGTCAGGGTGACCATTTTAGCCGATTTTCTGCTAACTTTGACAGTTTTTTTGGGTTAAAAAACGAGTATTATTTTCATTTTTAAATGGAACAGGAAACAGCCGTTGCATTTGCAACTCACACCCTCGCTCGACAAACAATTTGCATAAACGCGACGTCACAGCTTGAGGTCATCTCTTGTCACATTCAAAATGGCTGCCATCACCAGACGTTTCACGAGTGCATATGGGCTCCAGAAAAATTCAAGAATATTTCGGAAAATTGAAGGCAGTGGATATTTTGCCGGAGACGGCAAACATCCAGTAAACGTTAGTTTGCCGGATATGCACTGAACATGCGCAGTTACTGTTTTTTTGTACTTAAACATTTTCCGGTGACAAATTTTAGTCTAGCTCCATGCCAATATTATCGTTGTATTTTTGTATTTACAAGATGGGAATCAGACCATTTTATAATTTCGGACTTTATTTCCCTTTAAAAAAAAATCCTCCAGAGCCACAAATCTGAAAAAGAAAAAGTAATACTCTGCAATAAAATGTTTGAGACATATTAAAATAATAAAAGAAGAATATTCTTATTTATTTGGGGATGGGAAAAAAACAACTTAAAATTGTGGCGGGGATCACGATTCGAACTCGCGACATCCTACTCACTAGAGCCATTGCTTAACCACTGCACCGACTGTGCTACACAACTTTAGTGGGAATTTAATACATGTTATAATTCAGCCCTATCTTAAAGAGTACAGCGCCCTCTGTTGATATGGTTACCTCCGGCAAAATATCCACTACCTTTTAATTGCGACAGATGTGTAGTGCAATGCTGCGGCATGCGCTTCCAACCACGCAGCTAGTGTGGAGAATTTGATTTACACATAGCGCGGGGCCACTATAGCAATGTATTGTTGGAAGTCTACAAAGTGCAGCGGACATTATACGATTTAAATTCTCACTACGTGGCAATATCTTGTCGTATAGCGTACGGTGTGAGCCAGGATCAGACATCGAACAGTGTGCGAGTGGGCCGGGAAAACAAATCGTAACTTTTTTGTTATGAGCAAAAAAAAGCTGATTTAAAACTGAACTAATTGGGACCACTCAGTAACACAAAATTATCCCCTTAACTTAAGAAAAAAAGAATGTGCCGGACAACTGACCGACCCTAATTCCCTACACGCCCGAACCAACGGTTTCAGTCTAGTCTATACTCACGCGTACGAGTTTGCTTGCGTACGAGTAGGTCCGCGTACGAGTTATCACGCGTACGAGTTGGCCCGCGTACGAGTTTGTCCGTGCACGAGTTGTCCTGCGTACGAGTTGGTCGCGTAAGAGTTGGCTCGCGTACGAGTAGCCCCACTAGTGTGGCCGTCGGTATGCTGCGCTGAACCTAAGGCCACACACCGTGGTCTGCGCACTACTGCGGACGTTTTCATAAAATTTGCAGGGAATTTCTTACATATGGTTGTATTCTACGATGTCCCATCTATCACTTCTGGGATGCTTAGGTGTAATGATGTTCAATTTTCCGAGATATTCTTGAATCTTTCTGGAGCCCATATGCACTCGTGAAACGTCCGGTGATGGCAGCCATTTTGAATGTGACAAGAGATGACCTCAAGCTGTGACGTCGCGTTTATGCAAATTGCTTGTCGAGCAAGGGCGCGAGTTGCAAATGCGACGGCTGTTTCCTGTACCATGCATTTATCGTCTGGGGGCCACGTGCACTGATCTCTATTCAGGATCTACGGCACAGGAAACAGCCGTCGCATTTGCAACTCGCGCCCTCGCTCGACAAGCAATTTGCATAAACGCGACGTCACAGCTTGAGGTCATCTCTTGTCACATTCAAAATGGCTGCCATAACCGGACGTTTCACGAGTGCATGTGGGCTCCAGAAAGATTCAAGAATATCTTGGAAAATTGAACATCATTACACCTAAGCATCCCAGAAGTGATAGATGGGACATCGTAGAATACAACCATATGTAAGAAATTCCCTGCAAATTTTATGAAAACGTCCTCAGTAGTGCGCGGACCACGGTGTGTGGCCTTAGGTTCAGCGCAGCATACCGACGGCCACACTAGTGACAGTTTTACATGTGACAGTTTTATCGATATTTTTTTAAAGTTTTTTAAATTTTACTTATACATGCAGTTTTTATTGTTGTTTTTTTTGGAATATAGGGAGTTTGAGTGTGATTGGCCATTTCCACTCCCCTTAAAGTTTAGGCGCTCCATTATAATATTATAGCCTAGAAGCCATCCTTTGCAAATGTAAGTTCTGTGCAAAATTCAATTTCTTATACAAGTTCCCTAGCTTGACTGGAAGTTGAGCATCAAATAAGGCCTTTGAATGTGCAATCTTTTTCTCTTGTTTTTTTCTATCTCCAGACAGTAGGGTTTATGTGTTTATTGCAAGTATTCTGTGCATGTTGAATCTCTCCCCCTTTTTTTTTTTTATATATACATGTCCCTCCAAATTGCCTTTTTTATAGCTTTGTCCCCCTCCAGATGGTGGAATTTTCCCCTTTTTACCTTGCCAGGCCCTTTCAGGTCCCCCCCCCCCCCCTGTTCCTACGCCTGAGTCCTAGGTTCCCCCCCTTCTTCCATTTGTTTTTTTACTGCTACATTGGTGTATGTACATTTGTGAATTTGTCCATGTCTGACGTTTTCTGTGTGATAATGAACAAAATGTAGATGTTTTTATTTATAAATAAATGTAATTCTTAATGTTCTTATTGTATCACTGATGTGAATAACAATAAAGGTATTTCAATATTAATACTAGCGTACGAGCTGACTACTCCTAGAACATTATGATCGAGCAATGATTTTCAGTTCGCTCGGAGCGCGCCGCGGGGGGTACGGTACATGCACTTGTACGCATGCACATCATTTCGCTTGTACCGTACCCCCCGCGGCGCGCTCCGAGCGAACCGAAAATCATCGCTCGATCATATGCGTGCACGTTTCAAGTGTCAGGTTGGCTCAGTGCGGAAAGGGCATATTTTTCATCATTTTGGCCTAAAAACCGGCAGAATCCACCTATGTTAGTTCCGCACAAGATACGTGAGTATGTCAAGAGATAAAGTACGGAGTAAAGGGGCAAACTGTGCAGCGGTTCTGTGTGAAATGGCTGCATTTTGATGGACGTTTTTGTACTTTATTAGTGTTTTGTGCTGCAGTCAATTTTGCGGGCTTCTTGATCTATGAGGACATAGTTCTAGGAGTACGAGCTGACCTGTATTCGACCCACATGACCCAACACTCGCAGCCCAAAAAGATCAAAGAAGAAAAGAAATCAGAACAAAAGCAAAGGCTTTCCCGCTGAAACAATTACCAGATTACAATCTCACATAAATTTATCAACAATGACATACCCTGCCTGAGTCTGAGCCGGGGGGCCGGTACGGGAAGGAAAGTTCAGTCACACTCACACTGATCAGTGCCACTGGTGGTCGCCATCTTTTTCTTACTGTAAAAACGTGTAGCGCCAGTATCACAACTCTGCGATAACATTATGCTAATTTATTCTTACGTCACCACAAGTCAGGTACGTCACAGAACTCATAAGTATTCTGCAGCAACAAGTACAGTGGAGAGCGGAAATGGGGGAAGGGGTTCACATCGAAATCGGTCATGACAGACTCGCCCGGAATGATAACCATGGTGAGGTCTGTCTGCAGTGGCGTAGCCAGGAATTTTTCAGTGGGGGGGGGGGGGGGGGGGGGGGGGGGGGGGGGGGGGGGGGGGGGGGGGGGGGGGGGGGGGCGGCTGGAACATTTCATGGGGGGCGTCATGTAGGGGCGTCAATCGCTTCTCAAAAGTGGAGGGGGGGGGACATACCTTGATCAGAACTGATGCGAGCGCGAGTCATTGAATCAGCTACCAGAATTCTGAGCTATAGGCATGGGGTTCAAATTTTGGGATTCTCAATGCTCTGTGGTGCTATCTGAGGCAATTTCTGACCACTTTAACACATATTTTCTAAGCAAAAGATACATTGTAGTACATAATAGGGCTCTGTAAATGAGACACGAGTTCAAAAATCTGGGGGGGGGGGGGAATTGATATTGTGTCCCCCACCCTTCAAAAAGTGGGGGGGGGGGGGACCAGTCCCCCTGTCCCCCAGGATTGACGCCCATGGCGTCATGTAGATCAATGATAATTTTCTCAGTGGGGGGCGACTGGGGGGCGACAAGGTTTCAGGGGGGGGGGGGCTGTCGCCCCCCCCCCCCCCCCCCACGCCCCGCCGTGGCTACGCGCGCCATTGATTTCAAGGAATTTTAATGGTCTATATTATTATTTAGCTTATATGAATGGAGGAAAAAGTTTGTGCGTGGCCGATTCGCGTGATATCGCTGACTGAAACTGTGTGACCCACGGACCACCTGTCTATAATACGTGTTCCGTGGTGTGAGCGAGCAGTGCAGTGGGTGTTAATACGCATTCATAAATACCTAAGACAGTTAACGCATTCCTATTGGTCGAGAGCCCGTCACGTGGCCGGTCTTAAACGGATGATAAAGACATGGCTAGCTCAACCTCGTCCCCAGGGTGTCGAGCAGTACGCGCCCACCACTACCTGCTCTCTCACCCTGGTATTGGATCATTTGCATGTGCAAGATTTTTGCACACGTATGCAAATGAGGAACAGTCTGGTGCCTGGATATGCGTTACACATTAGCGTTTGTTTTTGTATGGGGTGTCTGGGGTAAAAACAGAGTCAATTCGTAGCAGCGCGAGCACGGCGTGAGTTACGAAAACACGATTTTAAAATCAAACTGTTACGATCTATCGAGACAACATGCAGTATCATATTTCATATTAATATGAGCAAATGGAAAGGAAATTAGTATTTTCGAGAAGGCGTGGACGAATGATCGCGAAAACACGTACTGCACGTTGTGAATATATAGCACCAAGTACACGATAAAAATCCATACTAGCCAATTGCGGTATCAATCAGGATACAGGAAGAAAGTTTCCTATCCAGGGTTACTATTGGAAACGCGGTTGGAAATAAAGTAAGCACTGGGGACGAGGTTGTGGCTAGCTGGTCTTAAACACTTTTCCAGTGTCACAATAAAATGTGGGACTCCTAAAAATCCAGTGCCTCTTATCGTTTTATTGTTGAACGTTCACAATCCTCACGTAGGCATGCGCAACAGTACCAGGAAGTCAGAATTTTAAAGTTCTAAATTCAAAACGCAACGCGCCAGGTTCGTTCTGCGCGACATCGCGCAGAACATGATACGCGCGCGTCAATCTCCATAAAAGAGTTGTTTACATCTTACTCGCCAGCTGAACACTCCATTATTTGCAAGAGGGATGTTTCAAAAAGCATAAAGTGAATTTGTTGAACAAAATCGGGATGTTTTGAACGAATTATATGATTTTTTCTTACCGAAAAGGTATTTGAATTGGAATAAATATGTGCTCCGTCGATATTTATCACTCTGTTTAAGACCACTTAGAGTCTGGGTGCTAATAATTACCCTCGCCTCCGGCTCGGGTAATTATCAGCACCCAGACAGTGGTCTTAAACAGAGTGATAAAAAACCTCCGAAGCACACATTTATTCCCTTATTTTAGATTACCATTATGCGCTATGTCACG